GCCCGGACGACACGAGAAAGGATTTGCGCACATTGGAAGCTGACCGTTGCAGTGACTAACATGTGTGTATGGTGGTGGTGATCAATAATAATATGAAAAAAAAAAATTATGTCCGGGGAAAATTCGACGTGGGTATTATTAAACAAAAGGAAACTTAAAACGGGTTAGTGATTTCAAAATGGCGGTGGCCGCCGGTCGACTTATGCAAATATTAATAACGAACGCGATGGGAACTGTGTGTGTGTGTGTGTGTACATACATACATTTATCGGGAAAAAAATAAAAATAAAAAACGATAGTACGTAAGGGTTACCGACAAACAAACACAATAGCAATATAATAAAATATAGAAAGGGGTATTTTTTTTTTTTTTTTAATACTCTTTGAGAACTCGTTACTAAGGGGGGTACTCATTTCTGTGTGTGTGTGTGTGTTTGCATATGAATAGGAGTTGAATTTTTTTTTTAATTCTTCCCTACTCTATAAAACAGAAAGGAGGGAACGATCGTCGTGTGCGTATAAATACTATAATATTCGATATGAGTCATTATTTTTAATGAAAAATAGTCCATACGGGCCCCCGGTGTCATTTTTCGAGCATACACGTGAGTCACATATTATTTTTTACCAGATCAAAATAATTGTATATAAAAATAACAATAATTATTATTGCGCTAAAAAAATGTATCTTGTGAGGCCGCTAATGAATGCGGCGGTCCTTGGCGAGGTAAATTACAATCCGTTTAATAATTATTATTTTTATTTTTATCCATCGGTCTATAATATATAATATAATATCCGCGGTACGGTTAATATGTGTTGTAGTGTTGCGCCCGGGACGTGCATCGTCGTCCACAGCTGAGGTCTCTTATTGCCTCGTTAATCATATTTTAATTAAAAAGAAAAAAAAACCGAGACAATTAAGAAGGAGAGAAAAGGTATATACGATGCGTATAAACTCGGGTAAAAATACAAAAAAAAAAAATCATATATACATATAATAACACAAACATCGGCTTGGTGTATATAATACCGTAGTAGACGATATTATTATTATTACTACTACTAAGACGGACTGACTGGCTGGCTGGTTAGTTTTTTTTTTCGGGTCATTTATCATTTCGTATATGAGATAGCCGGCAGACACAACAACAGAGTTCCTTCGCCAGTATTTGTTCTTAAACTTCTCTTGCCGGGGGAATCTTAATTATTTTTCGGGTTTTTTTGACCAAAAACAAAGATTTATTATATTTGTTCTGTTCTATGGCAGCAGCAGCAGTCTTAGTGGTCAATACTATACCTCAAAGGCAATTTACCGTTCAATTGTGTAGTGTGTGTGTTTTGCCCAAGTCTTTTTAACTTTGTCAAGAGCTTGCCAGTGTGATTTCTTAGTAATGATTTTGTCTTGTGGCGTTTAACGTAGGCGACAATAATTAATTTTAAAAAAACCGTATAAACTTACAGTGGTCGGGGGGTGGGATATAAGTTTTTCGCCCACGTGGAAGACTTAAAATGAATTGTTATGCGACCGTTGGACACGTTCAAAAAAGAAATAATAATAATAAAAATCGGACAACTGAAATCGAAAATAATAATATTATACAAAAGACACACGACGATAATATATATATATTTTTATTATTATTTATTATTATATGTAGAAGCAAGCAAGCGGCGGCGTCAACCGGAAGATTGTGTATACCGTGTGTGTGTGTGGTAACCGTAACCAATCGTAACCAATTGACCGCGTTTGGTTCGCTGGCGCCTATCTTATATACAATAATAATAATAATAATAATAATATATAGGTACATATAGGTAATATTATTTTTTTTATACAATATTATAAGGCGACGACGTTCATTGAAACTATACAACACAGTACACGGCGACGTCGTCGTCGTCGCTCTCATTATATTATACTCATTTCTTGGTTTTTTTTTTTTTTTATTATTATTATTACACGTCGACGCGCCGCCACGTTCACTTCGTGTACCGTCGTTAACGTCTCCGATAAATTATTAATCAATACCGTCTTATAAGTTATATTATTACTATAATATATAAGATGTATTCGCGTACTTACGTCCCGGAGAGCGCACTTTTTTTTATGTAAATACACACACTGTATCCCATATAGATCAATCGCCCACGCTGTATACACTGTGCTCCAACCGCAGCGGTGGTGCACTGTAAAAAAAACCTAGAATTAACTGCACTTGTACTTGCCTCCTAACCGCAGTGATGTAGATCATCATGTTATCATTATTAAGGGCTTATATCTCGTCCCACTCGGTCGTGCAGCGTTTATCTGTATACACATTTTATTGTCCCTGTCAGCTAAAAAACTAGTCGGGTGTTCTTTAAAAAATTGTTTTACGATTTTGAAATATTATGATGGCTGTATAATATTATCAGGTGTCGTTTCGGATTTCGCCGGTTAGGTATATTAATATTATTAGTACATGTATGTATATGTATTTTTGTTTTTTAATTCTGAAATATTATTCAATTTAACGTATACAGTGTAGTACAACATGCTTTGGAAATATCCACTCCTGTTAAGTACCTATTGCTCGTTTGGTCAATATATATATATATATATATATTATATATAATGCAATACATATATATATCAATAGCTATGGCAGCAGCGGCCAGGTGTCAGCGTTTTTTTTTTTTGTGTTATATTTTTCCTTGTAATTTTTTTTTTTTGTTGTTTCCGGCTACTCGGTTTTATTATTCGAGTGCAAAAAGGTTACCTGCCTGAAACTCAACTCCTATTGTTTTTTCGAATAATTTAAACGTACAAAACCGAATTATTACTAAATTCATGTGTGTGTTGTTCGACCACCGCCGTCGTCGTCGCCAACGGACTATATATATATATTTTTTTTTTTCATTAAAACATAAAACAATTTATTGGCCGGAACCGTGTGTGTGTGTATGTAGTTTACACATTACACTCTATGTTGTGTACAATATACATAATAATAATATTGTGTAAAATTAATACCGGCTGAGGTACTACAGCGAACAAACCTTTTTTTTTATTTGCATACATTTTTTTTATTGATCGCCAAAATTACCCCCCTCCCCCCATTCGCCAGATATATCAATTCCGTTTTACAAATTATGAGGGGCAATCGACCCAGAATGATATTATTGTTACACTATTGTACGACCGGACACGGTTGGTTGATCTAAAAGGGGCACACGCATAATATATATTTTTTCCAATATTTTTTTCTATACTTGGGGGATGCCGTTTTTAAATAGCTCGTGCGCACCTGACCCGGCCAACAATGATATTGTTAACCGCACATGGGCGGATTGCTTTGGCGCATAATCTTGTATATAATTATTATATTTTCGCACTGGACAAGGGTAGTATGACACGTTTGCCCGTGACTCTGCTGATGTAGAGTGTATGAAATCTAAGTAAATCTATAATAAATATAAATGTTTATAATTATTATTATAGCTTTCACCCGTGCTACCGTCTAGACCGCAAAAAAATTGTCGGTTTACCTAAGGCCGCGCGCTTTAGAAATCAGATTGTCATCGTTGTTGATGTTTTTTTCCTTGTAGAAATCTTCCGTTATTCGCCAAACGATCCGAGAATATTAATTACCACCAAAATATATACTATATTATATACTTGCAGTAGCTCAAAAAACCACCGTTGTTGCGTATCAAGTCCTGTTTTACACACAGTCGTCTTATTTGGCAAAGTCAGTTTAATATTCTCATTCCAGTGTGTGTGTATAGCAAGTGTTGTTTTTTCCATCTCAAAATTAATTATTATCCTGTTTTTTTATATATTTTTTCACTCCCAATCGCTCTCTCTGAGCAACTCCCAGTGCACACACCCGTGTACCTTCATATGTATGTATTGTAAATAATTGCAATGATCAGTTATTTTCATTATCCGGTCTTTCAACTTTCAAAAATCGAATTGTAACCCGATAACCAATAAGTTATAATCACAAAAGGTCATTACACCGTACCCCGGGGCTAAGAGGGCCAATATATAGCTTCTTATTTTTTTGCAAACAAGCCACAACATTAGCGAAAATACATGTCTCCCACGACCATATACTTGGGCGACGGTCCACATTACTTTTATGTATGTGCCGCCGACGACGTCTGGTCACGGTGACAACGCTTATGTATGCATATATATATATATATGCAATATGTATATAAATTGTGTGTTGTCGGTGAAAAGGATACGCGGGAACCGATGCCCGGAAGCGACGTTGCTCTAGGTGTATTTAATATATTATAAAATAAAAAACACCGGATTGTCTATATAATATTTATTACTACTACTACTACTACTATTACTGCAGCTATTACTATATATTATAATAACGTCTATAATGTACTAAGCACGGTGGTGCGCGGTCGGGTTATGATATTATAAGGCGCCGGGCACCAGTATAACGCTTGATATAGTTTTTTGACGGGCATTGTCTCCCTGTTTATATACAACGAGCCACCTTTTTTTATAATACAGTCGCCTCCTTCGTCTCCGACGAATTATCCACCGCGATGGCTCGCTTTATAATATAATATATATTATTTATTATTATCATTACACGTTGTGCGTTGGACCGAAACGGTCTACACGGCGGTAAATCTACGCGCGTGCGTTTAGCCAAGGTGAATTAGAGACGGTCCCCCGGGCATAAACGGGGACAGGATAAAATAGGATAGGATAGGATTTTGTTTTATCATAACCGTCGAGAACAAATTTAACTATTTTCCCTCGGGTTTAAATGACCCAATGCGCTGTTTTATAAAAGATAGAAAAAAACATTTGCACAATTATGACTAGATTTGTAAATATTATGAGAAAAATAGGTTAACCAGCTAATAACTATTCGGCTCGAGCGACAATTGCCGCCTTAAGGTCGTTTAAATGATAACAATATTAACACTTAAGTTAACGTTAAAATTACTTGTCTTAACGGTATGTTTACTTTTGTCTGCAGGTTGAATGGTGACAATGGCTGATACGGGATTGTTGGCCGCACCGGCGGCAGCCCGACACGGCGCGGGCAAGGTGCAGACGCCGCCGGACTCGGTGTACTCGTCGGCGGCCGAGGACACGGACTCGGACCCGGACGAGCACCGCGTCAAGGACCAGCCGGTGTGCCTGGCCCGGGCCAACAGCGACAGCGTCGTGTCGGCCGCCATGCACCACCACCACCACAACAACAACAATAGCATCAACAACAACAACAACAATAACAACAACAACAGCACCCGGAACAAGCGGAAAAACTTCCAGCCGCGCAACATCAGCTACACGCAAGAGGACGCCGGCCAAGAGGATAACGGCCGCCGGCCCGGCACGGCCGTGACGGGTGGCGGCAACGTGACCGCGTCCGCCGCGGTGCTCGACTTGAGCGCGTGCGCCGGGTCCACTCTTGCCAAGCGGCCGCGCGTCGACGACGGTTCCGCGCCGATGGATCTCACGTGCGCCGTGTCCACGCCGCCGCAGCCGCAGCCGCCGGTTCTGATGGCCTCGTTGCCGGACAAGCGGCGTTTCTCATTGGCCACCGCCGGCCACCCGCAACCGCACGAAGAGTCCGAGCTCAAAGAGTACGCCCAGAACACCGTCAGGGAGCTGTTGGAGATCTACGGGCTCAACACGGACGTGGCCGACGCTATCACCAACAACGTGCCAATGGTCAACTTTTCCACCGGTAAGCCAAACTGTTATTATCGCCAACCTTTCAACGTGGGTTTTCCCACAAACGTCTAGCCGCTAAAAAAAATGGAATCCGCCCAGGTTGAGTCGTTAAGTATATTAAGCATAAGCATGTATGTATACTTAAATTGCCCCCGAACTAAACGTGTACACGAGGAGATGTATGTGCATAAATCCTGATATATATATATATATATATAGTATATAAAACATAATATCCAACCGTGGTTTCAATTATCCGCGGCAGTCTGGGCCGCCGCAAAACTCGTTCTAGCTCGGTAAAAAACGTTGTTATATTGATTGGTTTTTGATAGAAAACGAGTACTCCAATAATTATAATTAGCAACCGCGTCCCTGCGATCATTCGGCTGTACAACGTGTGGAATTTCGCCAAAAATTACACTACAGTAGGAACTTGTATATCGGTTACACGATGCACGAATAACATATTTTCAAAAAAATCAAAACAACTCTTTATGCCGAGTAATTTTTTAGTAGTGTTTTTTTTCTAGTAATTTATTTCTGACGCCCGCCAACTCGTTCACATACACACACACATCATCAACTTACACACAAGACGTGGCACCTGTAAATTTTTGTAAGAATGTGTCGACTCACCTCGGCAATCATTATCCCGTTCTTCTCCTCATCGGCGGCGGTCGTGGGAACGATTAATCAAATCTCCCCCGTGCAACTTATATACCATATAAGTGTACACACACGAAACTCGGTTTATGGAGATTTTTTTTTTTTTTACTTCTTCCAGAATAGTAATGTTCGTAATTAAAGCGTATATTCGTTTTCCACCGTATGTTTTTGTATACTTATATTATTATGTACCTAAATATAGTGAGCGACGAGAGAGGCCATCAAAATTCAGACGAGTTTACGGGAAAGAAAAAAGTAATTTTCAAAACGTCTGAAGAATAATAATGATTGTTATCGGTGTTCTTTTTTTTTTGGAGGGGGGGCAAGGGAGGGGGGCATTTGCTTTGCCCACCGTATGTACACACACATATAACAGCTATAGTTTTATTGGTCATTAAAGATTCGCAGAACACCGCGACGGAGTTTTTGAAAAAAATAAAAAAAAACGCAGACCGAGAGAGACTTTATATTTTAATGAAAAATAAAAACCAACGTTACACATGTACATGCCAATGGTGGTACCTCTCTATATATAGTATAGGGTTGTAAAAACCGTCTGTCTTTAGGCGGCGCGGTCTCGTTCATTTTTCTTCTTCTTTCTTTCTTTTTCTTTCCCTTTGCCATTTTTTATGGTCATAATATTCTTTTTTTAGGCCTCTCTCTCCGATACAAATCGCGTATATGCTAACATCTGCAATAAATTATGGCCAATGTGTTGTTGTGTGTTGGACCTAAAAAAAACCTAACCGACAGACCGCCCGACCGAGTTGTTCTGAGCTGTGCACGGTACCAGGGTTAGGTTTGTGGGGGAAATTTGCTTAAGAAAACGAGACCATATTGGCCCCCGCCTTGCGGGGTTTTATGACGCGATACGCGAAACTTTTACGATATAGCTTTAACTGTCCCAGACGGACAGACGCGTTTTTCTATTATATTCCGGGGTGCATTTTATTGACTATTTCCCCTTGTTTATGCGTTCACCACCACCATCCATCCCTCCTACACGTCCACCTCGTCTGCGCCGCGTCCGTTTCTCTGCTGGTTTTTAATTGTTCCTAAAAAAAAAAAAATACCGTGCACCACCACCCGGACGAGACTACTTCTTTTGTTTTCACCAGACTACAGAAACAAGCCACTAGTACTTATTTTCGTTTTATCGCCCATTGCCAGCCAGCCAGTGTGTGTGTGAGTGTGAATTTATAACTTTATAATATACTGTCTTGTGATATTCTGTTGTTGCTCTGCGCATTAATTTTGGATTTCGATTCTCGAGAGTATACCGTGGTACAGTATATATTATATTATGTACTTGAACGATTGACGAACGACCCTTGTCGAGGAGTTTGCGGCGCACAATACTGCAGTTTTGCTGCAACGGTCACCCTCGACGGTGCACAAACGGTAATAGGATTTATTGCAAATAGTACATGAACTGTTTCTATAAGGTTTCGTCAATGCGGTTTTTTCGCTTGCAAATTGCCTGCCCTAACCCTTTGTGTCGTTTTGGACACAATTTATTTATTTTTTAAAGGGTTTCTCGTGAAACCTTTTTTTCAAAAGCGTGCAATGGGTTTTACGTAACAAGTCTGCCCGTTGGACTTGGGCCTAAGTATTTCAAGTAAACCGATACCGGTAGACCGGACGTGGCTCAAACATCATGATGTCGGATAAACAATCTGTATATTATACTATTATAATAACTATATCACGCATAATCTGTAACACCGACATTTGCTACATTATTGTTGTTCAAAACGAAAAGCAAATAGATAAATCAAGCCGAGAGATAGATACTTTAAGTAAGGCTTTCCCGTAAAATTCTGAGAACGCGACAACATTTAGTCATTACAGCTAGAAAGTGTATATAAATGTACACAAGGGAGAAGCCGGTACGGAATTATGGCCGACCGTTTGACATTCTTCTGTTGGCCACTTGATCCGTGATAAATTGAACAAAGAGGATCGCGATATGGAAGCCCATATGAAAAATGATCTCACACAATACACACCGCGTAGTACTTACCTACCTATCTTTTGGCCGCAGTTTGTATATAGTAATATGTTTTCCGTCTCCTCTGGGTCGTTGGACTTTCTTCGGGATTCTCTAATGAACACTTGCACACACTGATAAATCACAATGTGCGACCTCCAACTATCGTTTATACATTTTTCATATCACATACCTATTTATTATATATTATTCCTGTGTTTTGTCGCACGAAAATTCCACGTCAACGGTTGGCAAATTGATCATATAAGTATACTCGCCTTCCCCCAATACGGGTCTCGAGTCCGTTATAAGTATCGAAGCACGTCCGTGGCGTGCCGGTTGAGATTATTTATTAAACCGGCCTAGATCGACGCGGTTAGATCTGTAATTACATCTATATTATCTTATTGTAAAGGTAGGATGTATATATTATAAGCCGATCGCGGTTTTGGATAATACCTAATACTTACAAGTCGCTCGACCGATTCGTATAAAACTAGTTTTGATTTCAAGCATGTACATGGATCACACGCTCGAGCTTATATTTGGGGGAGGGGGTTCGATTTTGGTTAAACTATTAACCCATTTTCGTGCCGATCCGACTCCGCAATACTAATGTAAAAATATATGGCTGGTTTCCCACGGTTTTTTTTTTTCATGTATAATGCGTTTTCAAAAAGTTGCACCTAATTCATGTGTTGGCCGGCGCATGCCGTCGTCAAATAACGCTTATGTCGTTTGGCATCGGTTTTACAAACAAAACAAACGCGGTACACGTACATGGTGTGTTAATGTTAGCTGCGATTAGTGTAGTAACGCGCGGTTTATAATAGTAATAATTGTGTGTGTATGTTTGTGTGTATACACTGTGGCTATCCGGCGTTCGCACCGTGTGCAGCTTGTATAAATGTATAATAACAATTTAATGATGTCGGCGAGTCAAAAAACTTTCGGCTGAAAAATGTCTCGTGTTGTAATACGAGATGTTGATCATCTCAGACATCATAATATTTATGTATACTTTTGATGACGAGCCGCTGCAGATGTTGTAGAAAAGAACCCCCCGCCGAGTATAAGGCAAAAGAGTCTATACTTGCCATACTGCCAGCTGGGCCCAGGTGAATACGTTTTTTTTGCACAGTAGCAGTGGAAAACACTTGAAAACGTATTTTCGTATACGATTTTTTCACCCCATTATTTAATCCTTTCGATTCCCTGGGAACTCGCCGTGTACCCGCCGTAACCCCTTCCCCGGGATATTCGTTATTTAGGGTTAAAAAACTCGGGCACATACAGCTGCTGCTGCTGCTGCTCGACGTTTGTGTGTGTAATCAGATTTCCAACTGGAAAAAAACCCTTTTGTTTTCGATTTTTGTTCAACGGCAACGAGCATATTATCACAAGACAGCGTCGGTTAGCATAGCCTCCAAAAAATGGGTCGCAAGACGTTTAATTTAAAAATATTTGTTTCTCTGCTCACAAGTGTGAAAATCTTACACAGCAATCGACTAGACTCTGGTCCGGCTGCCTATTTCTTGTTAATACTAAGTTAATACTAAGACCTAAGTACTTTTTGAAACTCAAGATATTATGTGTACCGGTATAAAAAAGGAAGGACCAATTAGGCAATAGATCTGTGTGTATGTGTGTGTGTGTGTGCAATTCGTAGAAGCAGATAAATGCAATCCGGCAACGGTTTTATGTTACTCTATATGCGTTATTGTGTTTTTGAAGTTTGTAAACAAATGGTATCACGACTGATCTATCATGGCTGGACCTGGCACGTTGTGTGTACACAGTGAATCACTGGGACCGTTCGAATTTTGATTTATATTTCTCTCTTAAAAAAAGCGCTTACGTCACTTGGATCAATACAGCATTATATTAATATATATTTTGATCTACCAAATATGGCGTTTGCTGACGAGTGTGAGCCATGTTTTTTTTATTATTTTTATTATTATTTACAGAATACCAACGCAACGAGGGCACGTTTATTTCTTAGGTTTTTTTTTTTTGTTAATACTCTTTTGAGAAAATACACGAACACGTGCAGGACGCGCGAGCGTATCGTCATGTAAAAATATACAGATGTGTATATTAACATAATAATATAAATTTATATAGTACACTTATAAGGGAAATAATAAACGACCCACGAAAAAATACAAATGTATAATATTGTGCACAAAAGGCGAAAAGAAAGCAGAGACCGGCCGTCGCGCGTAGGACAACTTAGGACTGGCGAATATAACCCACCCCACCCCTTTATATTTTGAAAATAACCTTACCTATTATGAGAAGCTATTGAAAGTGTATTTTTTGTGTGATTTTTCGGACGTGGAGTAGAACGAGGCGATGACGGCGACTTGTGTTACCCAAACGGTGCGCTAGTGTACTTTCTAAGTAAATGTGTGTAATGTAAGTACGCGGGTAAAGCCGTATTCGGTTGGACGGTTTGTTCATTGTTAGAGGAGTATAAAAAAATAAAATAAAACTCTGGTACTTCCTACGCGTGCTAGTCGCTCATGTGGAAAATGTTTCATTTCGACCGCATCATAGTCGGCAGCGTTAATAATCAGTATATAAAATAACGTTACACCTATGTACAACAAGTGTAACATAATAATATTATTATTCATCAATATAACCCAGCATTGCCCGTTGGTCGTTTTTCCACACTGAAATTCCAGTGGCGCCTATCTTTGAACACACAACATAAGTCAATTCGACCGTAAGTCGCGTTACCGAAAAAACTTAACACTTTCCCGCAGTAGTAGACACCTACAGGAATTTATTATTATTAATATAAACAGCTCAAGTCGATTGTTATTCCTAGACACGTCGAGTTCCACTAATAGCGAAACGGATGCATGCCGTTTTAGCCTATAACGCCTGCCTAAAAATTTAATGATATTATCCGAATCCCTTAGTGAAATATAGGCATATTAGTAGTTCGTTCACCTTTGTCTTTGAATGCGAAATCAGTTGCTAGAATATATCTTATATGGAGGGAAAATCGTCGGTTGTTGTTTAAATGTATTATTATATTTATAAGGGAGAAACTTTTAACAGTGTGTGTGCGCGCGCAGGCCGTTAATCTTTTTGTCGATTGAAGGACTTTTGAGAAAAATAAAAAAATCATCGTCCCCGTTCACACGCAATCTAACTCTATCATCTTCGCCGTATCCTTATTCTGAACAGTTTTTTATTGTCAAATCGCGTTTAAACGCAAAAGTATCCAGCCGAGTTGCTGACAATAGGTATCTTGTCAGCTGCGCTTGGTAGTTTTTCGCAAAATCATATATTCCGCAGGGTTAAGCGACGGCCAAGAAAGCGAGCACGCGGTGCACAATACGCCGGCACAGCGCACACCACGGTGGGAACAAAATAGGATGTCATCCATTAGTCCCCTTATGATATAAAAAACATAAAAAAAAATTCTCCCGGTCCCAGGATAAAAAAAAAACCTCTCGTTTATATAGCTTTTAACCTGTTCAATTGATCTCCCCGCATATGTGTGTGTGTGTGTGTGTAATATAATAATGAGGATATCAAACTGCCAAGCCGGGGCCGAGGGGAATGCCCGCGTGTGTGTGTACGGTTATTAACAGTTTCCACCGCAAATAATATTTACCCATTTTACGGAATCCCTCGGTCGTTCGGTGAATTTTTTTGGGTAAAAAAAAATATATATATATATTTAGGGGGGACAAGTGTGTGACACCGGGGGTCGAGGGTCTATATACGAGGCGCCCCGTTTGTAATATATAGGCATAAAAAAACTATATATAGTTATAATATGATGTGTACAGTGTGTGGATTAAGACGGTAATGACGGGAACGAAATAACCGAAACACTCGAAATTTTCCATTTTTTTTTTACTTTTTTATTATTATTATTATTCCTATCCAATAGTGTCGCATTACAATCGCATTGTGCTCCACTTTTACGGGTCCTCGGATCACAATGGAAAACGGATTGAACTCGTCCACGCGAACATAGGCGGCGAAATGCATGTTATAAATTTCATCGCAGTTGTCTGCGGCAAAAAAAAATAAAAAGGTCTAATATATTATAATATTGTTAAAAAAGACAAAAAAAAAAGTCCTATTTATAAGAGTGATATACCGGTAATGTGATATAAATTATGGCGTAAACTGTATCAAGTTGTAACCAATAAAAAAATACTAATCAAATTAATAAAAACCCATTGGACGATTATACATATTTGGCGGTTTCTTTTTTTTTTTTTGCTATACTTTATATAGACATCTTTTTCTTTGGGTAGTGGCATTACAGTATTATTAATATATATATTATTTAAACAGCATCGCATCCAGTTTGGCTTTTTGGCGGCGACAACGTGTTATCGTCAAATTCAATGTGTGTGTTAAGTCACGTTTTGCAGTTTGTTCTAGATACGTCAAAAAAACGGTCCGCTTTTTTTTTTAATTTTAATTTTTTCTTTTTTGTGTGTCTTGATTGCACACGACTCGTGGCGACGGTGGAAAAATATTCACTTCACGATTTCTGCCAAAAGAAAGAATTAAGAATATACACGCTTGTGTGTGTGTGTTTGTTGTATTATTATTCAAATAAGATAAATAAAAACGGATAAAAAAACAACAATAATAATAATATAATAAGAACCACATTTTCATTATAGCATATAACGTATGATAAATAGGTACATTGCCTACCATTGCGCGAGCCTGTGGCGTTTTTCGGGTACGACATCGACCGATGGAACAAAATATTACATTATAATATTATATGAAAATGCTTATCTCTGCAACCGCTACACGCTTGACAGGTACACACAACAGTTGCCCCAAAGGCGTCTTCACTTTATCTACATATCATGTATGTGTAGCTACCGCGAGGCGGCGTTCACGATTTTATTTCTTATTTTCATTTTCGTTTACCTTAATTCACGTTCGACTGTGACACAATGACTAATGCTACGGCTATATGCCGTATATACCCACACTACTGTTTTATAACAGCCGTTATCTATACCTCTACTATACATCAAAATAATAATATTTTTTTACTTTTTGTTTCAGGACGCATACTGGAATCTTTGGCCGCCAGAGGAGTTGGCCTGTACCCGGCACTGGGTCTACCGCTGTTGCAAGCCGCACAAAAGCCGGCCAGCACGGCTTCTCCCAGCCCTAGGTCCAGCCCGGCCAACTCGGCACCTCCGTCGCCTACCCAAAAGGTAAATAATATATTACATATTCAAAATTTGTTAAACCGCAGAGTGTGTGTTTTTCTTCAAAAGGAGCCGGGTCCTCCGCCGCGGTTAATGGATTAAAAAACGGTGTCTGCATCGAAAAAACAATATATTTTTCTGTTATATTATATACCGTCAGACACTATATCGACCCTTCCGAGACCGCCCCGTAGTGAGACACTAATAATTTCTTATCATGCCTTGCATAACAGAACGTCAAGACTTGCATTCGTTTGGCGAATATATACTCTGTGTGCTTGCGCTCGTTTTCTCGGCGCATATACTACTTTTAAATACTTAATTATAATTGCAACCGCGCCTTGGATATTTTTTTTTTTTTCAATAAAAATCAAACACAACCTTATAGACACTAAACGTGCGCTGTATGTAATATAGGTGTATAGTTGACAATAACGCTGACTGAGACGACTCCGGTGTAATTATTATCTTGTGTGTGTGTGTGTATAACAATTATGATTATTATAACAAGACCGTCGGGCGCGACCCACTGCGCGTTTGGACGAGACGTCCGGGGAATTTTTGATGTTGTGTTCCGAAAAAAATGCGCATACTTTCATACATATTATTATTATTATTATTATTTTACTATAAGGATCGGTCCCCGACTAGTTAGACAAGGCGCGCGAGTAAGACGGAGAGCCCATTAAACGGCGTCGACGGCATTGTGTGCAAATCGCGGCTCTAGAAAGCCAACGACCAAATGGGTGTGGTGTCGTTCGTACATACACATTTTAATGTGTTTGTGAATATAAATGCGCGCGTAGAGGGAAAAAATTAATAAAATTTAAACAAAAATAATCACATGATTGTGTTTATATAGTACACCTATAGGTTAGCTTAACCTACGTGAATAATAATGCGACGCACACTCAGCCTTCGCGGGCACGACCATTGCGGAATCGACAATTTTTTTAATAGAGATCTACCCGTGTAACAAATGGCATCTATCTGATTAATATCCGTGATGCCACGGGGATGATGAACCGCAGAAAGGGTTGTTCACTCTAATAACTCGGCGGCCATCTTCTGATTTTTTACCATAGGCATATGCAATTTATACGGTACGGCGGAACCAAAGGAAGATGGCGGCTCGTAGATTTTTTCGTAAAATGTATAAATTATAATATAAAATATATAATAATATATTGACATATTTTTATGTATACATATTGAAGTAATGACAAAACACGATGGTGGTGTTGAGCGGTCACGGTTAGTCAAATTAATTGCAGAGATGTCGTTGTGGTGTAACACGCTACGCTATTGATGTATTTGAAAAAAAATAATAATAATAATAATAATTTTCGACAATATTTTTTCGTTTAATGCTTATACAGCCACTATTTGTAATGTTGTGCAACCCGACGAGGGTCATATTGTCTGCTCTGGTGTAAATTTATTTCGGAATAATTTTTTTCGCATCGAGCACACAATGTGTACACTTAATGTAAATGCACCGCGGGGGTGGGGGAGGAGTAAGTAAAAAATTATGTCGCGGAATAATGTAAAAAACAAAAAAGAAACAATTGACGTACAACAATCGCCGCCGCAATCGTATTTTATCTGTACAATGCGAATTTTTATTTGAAGGGCATTTTTTTTTTCCATCCCAATATTATTGCTTGTGATTTTCGCGCACTTACACGTGTGTTGCACAATACTCCGTCGCCAATACACAAGCCTATTATATTTCTTTAGTATATGACGATAAAATTGCCAATATTACTATTGTGTATTTTTTTTATATCACATATACAAGTAATTAAATAAAATTGTACGCAAATTATTTCTTATTTACAGTCTGTGTTTACAAGTGAAAATACTATTTTTACAATATATGCTGCCAAAATACACGTAACAGCTTACAACAAACGAACACTGTCGACTCGACTACAGTTTTGCATATAATACACTATGGTAGTGTGTACAATATAATTTTGCACTTGGTTCCAGAATTCTCATCGTATAATATTCTCTACTATTGTAATATAAATAATGATATTGTCTCGGTCTTGTAGTTAACATGGTAACACGACGTGTATAATTAGTATGTAGATTATTATTACAAACCGATTCCGAATGAAAATGGTTTTGTTTCAACAAATATTCTACAAAACACTCTTTCGAGATGGCTATCGTTATTTATTATTATTTTTTTTTTTTTGTCCAAAAACCGGAACGCCGCTTATATTCTAATTTATATACACCGAGTATATGTTTATTACCTGTATATACGATTTTCATATTTTATTATGTACCTACCTATACCGTTGCCCGGTTTTCGCATTTTAATTATTATTATAATACACCGAGATAATTGTCGGGTCGGCACTTTACCGTGTGTATACATAATGGACGGATTATGTGCCCAAGTATATATATATATATATATATATATATATATATATATATATGTATATATATATAATAAATAAGTATAACGTGCACATAATATTAGTAGTAAATACACAATGCACCGCAGCAAGCAGTTCCGGTCGGGGTCGGCCTCCCGCCGTCGCCGCCAAATCCAAATCCAAACTCACCATTAAAATATTATTATTTCAAGAACACAATAATTATTATGTATAATATTATGTATTTTTAATTTATACACGTGTAATGTTTTGTTTGTCTTTCCGTAATGGGACGTGCGCTGACAATAATTAATTTTCAAGTCGATTAATGTTACTTAAATTTGTTTTTTTTTTCCATAAAACAATAATAAAACCTGTTTTCACGCGTCATTCGCATAACGCGAGCGAGAAAAAAAATTATCGTTTTCGAAATCATATTATTTAAGTATTGATCAGCGACCATTCATATATGTACTTTATAGGCGGACGGCAAACTCCAATTGGTTATTCGGTGTTTGAAGATTGCTCTCGGTATCATTAATTAATGCTAATTGATCGGGGAAAAAAACTAGTTATATAAAATATGCACACTAATCGACAGTGAAAAAAAAAAAATCAAAGTATTATTGTTATTGTGCTGCCCGCCAAACCACTGTGTTTGGTAAACATTGGATGGATTTTTTAATACTACAGCGACCGTTGTTTTAGGACGAACAGAACAGACAACTATTTCCGTAAGTGCCAAAAAGTCGGATCGGTTTTGCATATAATGGATAATGTGAACGTTGGCGTTTTGGTGGAATAATAATTATATTACCACAGTTTTTATCTTAGTTCAAACACGTTTATGACGGCTTTTATATATTAAAAAAAAAAAAATATAATTTTGCAGTGTTGCCGAAACGCATGCGGCTTATAGTAATTAATAGACTCGAACAAAAACAAATATTTTAATCTGTCGAGTTGGTTTTTTATCAGACACCAATCTTTTGGACCGATGACGTCATCGCCCTTCGGTAATAATATAATGTATTGTTTGTCGGTCCAACCATAAGCGTTAATTTTATTGTAATACAAAAATAAATTACAAGTTCAGCGAACGGCGAGTTCAATATATGTACTTTTTTTCGAAAGTCTGGTGAAGATTGACGGGTTTTCGGATTGTCATGTAAATGGATTGTGCATAATATTTTGGCTGACCCGCGCCTACTGCTGTGCAAACAGTGAAAAATATGCACAACCAGCCGGTTGGCCGGCCGTGTCTGCCGTTTAGACATAAATATATATTATTATATCGTGTAGTTTATTATGATCATTATATTTTATTATTATTATTCGATGTAGTGTACATCCATCAACGGGAGGTCACTTTCTAAACAACGAATAATTTCATTTGTTGTGTATCCGTCTAAATAAAATAATAATAATAATATATGTCCGTGAGCCTATCCGAGAGATAAGTTAGATGTATATAATTTTTTTTTTTTTAAGGTGTCGCATTGCCAAGTAGTAAAAAAGACGGTATATATGTAATATATACATTCGACAGCATCTCCTCGATGTACTCTGCCTACCGGTTATTGGGCCTCAATCCATCAGGCCCGCTAAACAGGAGGAGCGATAATGCGCATTTACGCGGATACGTGTGAAACTATTCTGTTTTCTTAACGGCACACGGCTAAGAAGAAACCCGACCATCGACGGGTCAATTGATGACGGACGCCCCCGGGGGACACACGTTCACCAAACACCATTATTGTGTGTGTGTGTGTGTGTGTGTGTGTGTCCGGTATAATATAGTCAAATTTTTGTTTAACTACTCACAATATGACGTTAAGGCGCGGGTCAGCGAGATCCCGAAACGTTTATGCGGTCCAACCTAAGACCGATGGAATTTATGTGGAACAACGACGACTTGGCGGGTAAACCCTTTTGGCCGTGTATCGAGTTACAGGTGGCCAATGCGCAACGAATTCACACGGTTCCCGTAAAATGTAACAATATCCAGTCCACAGACGCTTTACAATTTCCACAACGTAGTTGTACCGCAATAATTAATATCAATCGTTCGGTTTGATCGTATAATAGCAATAATACCGTACACCGGCCACTCATGGCTGGGCGCCAAATTTGTTTCATGTGCCACAAACAGCAAAATTATATTATTATATTGTGTGAAGGAGCGCCTGTTGCAAAACGATTTCTTTTTTTTCAAAACGCCATTTAGGGAGATTGATCTCATAAACGGTTGGATCAAAAACACGATCACTTCAAACGGTATATGATAAGACGTTTAGCCAAATATGTAATATCGAAATGAATAATTTTTGTATATTTCAAACGCTTTTTTAACGATAACAATACCTATTTTTGTTTTGCTCTTCTAGTCGAAATAACAATTATTCTTGGTAATGTGTTTGTTATACACTATGTGTCGCGACTCGCGTTGTCAATCAAAAGGTGTATAATATTATAATATAAAGTGTCATTATAATAATCCAAGTAATTATTGATTTTCCTTCTAAGTACATATACGAATAGTATATATGTATATAGGTATATAGGTGCATAATATAATGCTATCCGCACAATGGCATGTGGCTGTTCTACGAATGTGGTCGTCGCCACGCGCATTGTCTCTCATCTGATCGATTTGTCCGCCCGCCCAACCCCTTTGCCTTCAGTCTGCAGGTCGTTTGACGACGCCTAGCACAATATAATAAATTCGCACTTACAATAATAGTAATAATAATAATACATTGTAAGTGCGCAAAAATTGTCAAAAAATCCTTGGTACGGTTCTTCCCCCCCCCATGCCGCCAGTGTTACGTGAACCTGCTGAGACACAGTGTGTCGTTATCGCATGCAAGAAACATCCGTTCGGAAATTCAAATCGCGCCCGTTTGAGCTGTTTTTATTTTGCATTCTAATAATTGTCATTGGCCGGTTCCTTAGTCGGCGAATCACCCTGTAATACATTATCTTTGGGCGGGAAAAAAAACTATAATAACCTCTCGACGATGGCTGCTGATGTATATGATTATCTTTTATAAAAAATCTGCAATTTATTCCGCAAGAACACAGTACACGCATCCGCGTTTTGAAATTATTATTATTATTATGAGATTCGAATTGTAAGACACAACGGCCATACGTTAGTGCGGTATTTTCTTTTCTTACTCCACTCCATATTATTTTTTTATTATATTGTACGTCCCGCGGATTTATTATTATAATTTTTTTTCCTTATTCCTTTTTTTTTTTTTTTGTAATGCTTTTTCTATACTACTATATTGTATTGTTTCTCGACGCCGGAGGATAAAATTCAAATGATTTCACCGCGACCGAGTGTCTTCTTGTGTCTATGGAAACAACTGCGCGCCCGTTTACCCCTTTTCGCACAGTCGGTAGAAAAAAAAAACTAGAAAACCCTCAATAACGTCGACGGGCAGGTGAAAAGTGATTTTTGAAAAATATTATTAGTAGTTTTTCTTCTTTGCTTTGACGGCGGTTATAAATTTGCCCGGGGAATAAAAAATCTAAATAATATAAAATATATTATAATGTACATTGTTATTCACCCCGAAAACAAGGTGAAGATTTTTTTTTTTACGCCAACGGTATTAACGATTACGACAGTCTATGCCCCCCCCCCATCCCTTACGAAACGGGCAAGTATGCAAATGTTCAAAGTGTTTCGTTATAATACCGCTTAACCGGTGGTGTACAGCCATTGTTAATAGGCTTTCACAACTATACAATTTGTATTATTACCAACAAAAAAAAAATGGAGAACATTTTAACTCATAATATATTTTAAGTATAGGTGTTAAATCGCGCCAAATATCCTCCCTAGTGTAATCCGCTCTCGCATAATACCATACACCGGCCAATTATTATTATATTAGCTCATTTTTAGCGCTTATATCCTGGCCATAGCACATTATACCAGTGTGTATGTGAGCCATCAATATATCAGTATAATTGAGTTATTTTTTTTGTACAAAAATGAATAAACAAACTGATAAGTGTTATACGCACAATACAAATGAATTCGGCACTATTTTTAAGTGCATATTATAACAATATATATTATGTATTACTATGTTGCATCTGGTCGATCTGCATAATATCGTGTGGTGCACTACTTCACGTTTAAGCGCATATGACCAGATAATAAAATAACAGTATCTATCTTATCTACTACACACACACGCGGCAATATTTTTTCTATTTTTTTCATCATATTACATTATTATTGTGTGCGGTCGACGTTATTATTGGCTCGGCGAGCGGTCAATTGTAATAAAAATCATAATGATAACGCAGCTCGTGGTGTATAATATTATTTGATGATTTTGTTTTTCCAGCAGTCCTCGACGTCCGTGATCGTATCCCTGCCGCATCCCGTGCACCACAGGGACGTGGCAACGACCGGAGCAGGAACGGCAGCGCCAACGACGTCACTGGGCATCCAGACACTGTCGCCGCGTTCCACAGCAGTCACCGCATCGCCGCTCCCGATGCCGACACCGACCTACACCAATGCCCAAGGTCAGTTTGAAGTTAAAGAAATAATTTAAAAAAAAAAAAATACAAAGAACCGGCGAATCGCGGTTACACGGTACCGTTAATTAGAGTGTGTAGTATCGAATAGGGTTGGTTGGTTGTACGAGTATAAGTGTTTTTTTTTTGGCAAACGACGAAACGCGCTCTCGAGGCCTATAACCTCGATACGAGAAGCTGCCCCTCCCCTACCTGCCTGCCTGCCTTCCCCTTTTGTTGTTATTTCGGGTGTGTAGATAAGGTATTTTGCCCCAACGGTATTTGTGTCAAGCCATCGGCCAACGGCTGGCCCGCAAATGTCGTGTGCGTTTTGCGAACAATGCGGGAAATGCGCAACCGCTGGCCGCCGGCGAAGGTCAAATACCGGCTTTTCTTCGCCCTTTTTCAAAAATAAATCCGCCTCGGCCAGGATCGATGAACCCGAGGAATCCGCGGTTTTTCTTTTTTTAATTTTAAACCTTGGCAATTGCATCCAACGGCCGGATTTTTCAATCGTTCGCAGGTATTCCGTTTTGGCCTAGCGTTAAACCAAGACGGCGGCATACGCACTTGTTCATTTTGTCATCTAACACGGATGTTATTATCATATTTTCATAAAACCTAACCTAAACCTAACCAAACCCAATCAAACCTTACCAAACCTAACCCAACCTAACCTAACCGGACCAAAATATACCATCTTCATTAAAATATATACTATTATGAGATAATATTTAAAACTGTTAGCCTCTAACGCGGTGATGATTGACGTTTACCTGATTGATGTGTGTGTGTGTGTAGAAAATTGTACGGACAATTGGACAGGAGAGATAATCGTACGTGGGAAAGGCGACCCCTTTGTGTGTACATACATATCGTTGTAACGTACTTAAACGCGCTCGGTTAAGTTTCCACAAAAATGCGCGAAAAACGATCCTTGTAACCCGATGCCTTTGTTAAGGCGCGCGCGCCCAATCGACCAGATTGTTTTCTACGTTTACAACAACCTTTCTGTATTTTATTATCCCGGCATACACCCGGAGGGTGGTTATGGTTGGCCTCGGTCGCTGTCTCTCGTTGTTTATTCTCCCATAAGACGTGATTCGCGCAACGGTTTTTTTCCCCAAAAAAAAAAATACATTGTTTTTTTGACTTACTTAAAAAAAAAATGTTTAACTGCTCGTACCTATCAATTATTATTTCTTGTACGCCCGTTTCGTATATACATACATTAGCCAGTAATACGGCATTTGTATCAATCTAAATTTATTAACAGAACCAGTTTAGAGCAATAAAGACCAATTGTACCGTTTGTCTGTTTCCTCTCTGCGCGTTAACCCGTTTGGCCGCGCGGTGCTCGGACCACCGCATAGGGAACAAACGGTCGGGCCATCGGAGAGGTTGTAGAGCAGCAGCAAGCGACAGCTGAAGAGAGAGAGAGAGAGAGAGAGAGAGAAAATAATAATAATAAAAAACGAAAACGGTAATAAAATAATAATTGTGAGGGAAAAAAAAAGAAAGAAAGAATTCGTAGACGTTATAAAAAAAAAATGTATACATATATTAATAAACAGTTTAACGCGAGTATGTATGTACATGCGGGACTTGACAATTTAGCAATCAAGCGTACAATGGGTCGGTTTTAATGAACCGCTTTTCGGACGATTTACTGGTTGCCCTTAGGTTGCCACCCATCGTCTCGAATATGATTGAGGTTAAATCGTTATTATATTTAAATCAAAAAAACCCGGTCGGTCGCCGCTCGGCTGGGAACGGCACGCATAAATCCATACGTAGGATTTCTCTCTTAATATTCTCTAATTACCCAAACGCATATACATAATATGGGCCATGTAAATTTCCATGTTTATTTTTTTTTTATTAGGTTCGTTGTGTAGTATTATAATATGGTGCATAACATTCATTCGTTATACTCGTATTAGCTCTTTCAGCCGTCTAAGATAATATAAGCGAACGTTTTAATAATAATTATTATGTCTGATAAATTATTATCGCATGCGCAAACACCGTGAACAATCTGAAATGTATTGAGCATTACTGTCCACACGCTTTTATACGGCGGCGACCATTTGCATTTGCATTTCCTTGCCAGGTTATGAGATGTTTACATTAAACGTAAGTCGCGTGTGTGTGTGTATAATGCGGCCAAGCAGCGCGAATAAAAAATGTATACATTTATTTTTTTAACGGTTAGTCTGTGCCAATAAAATTTCAAAAAGACCTAATTAACGTTTTGGGTTGCAACACCGTGTCGCTAATGGTTTTTTTCTTTTCTTCTTTTTTCTCAGAACAAAAGATACACGAACGGTGCTCATTAAAAAAAACGTACAAGATTATCGCACGTGGGGCGGGTTATATTATAAATTATAACACTATTACAGGATAGTCGTTGAGCCGCCGTCTAAGGGATGATGATGGGGTGCAGTCGCATCCCCCGTGCTCTTGCATGAATTAACATTTATCGGCAAGTGTAAACAGAAACGCATGTGTATCGTTTACGTTGTACCTACTGTATACAGCTCTCGGTTGTCACTCATTCAACAGGGTCGAGAGAGAGGTTCTTTTTTATTTGTGCATTTCCCTTATTTTTTTTTTCACCACGCTTCGTGCGGTGATAAAAACACGTGTAAATTCGCAATATGCCTCTTGGCCCCCAAGCAAAGCGTATGCATGTGAGGTGCATGATATAATACATGTCACGCAGTGTGAAAACTGACAAACGACGAGGAGTACGCGCCTCTTATCGTCGTCTATTGTTTTTAGTAGAACCTTGTATTTTATACACACACACGGTATAATATTATGTGGCAAACCATTTATAGAGAATAACTGTATCATTGGCGAACGCACAATGCCCGGCGACTTATCTGAATCCTTGGTGGTGTTTGGGTTAACCGTGTACACCGGTGTGTCAGCACAAAGAGCAAATAATATTATAATATCGTGTTATCGGTACGCAATACACACACATTTTTTTTTCCTGTTGCAAATTACTTTTGTACTCGCAAAAACAATAATCGTGGTTGACACACGGCCACCGCGCTGTGTACATTATTCAGGGTTGGCCGAATTTTATGTAAAACACATTTTTTTTTATACTCGTGACCAACAAAAAAAAAACAACCATTCGACCGCACAAACTTATTGAAATTTGAATTTAAGTATTACTTTTGAATGTTGAAATTGGCTTTGAGAGAGATTACATTTTTTTTTCTACTATTATTATGTTGTGTTTAAAGTAAATATTATGCAAAATGTTGTTTCCCAAAGAAATTGGCAAATCTATGCAATTTTTTTTGTTCATCGACCGATTCATTCGTTTCTATAAATAAAATATATCACCAACAATTCGGATGCGGTCGAAAGTTTATTAATTATTATTGTTTTTTATTATATTTTATTCTAGGAATTCGGTTTAGGCATTGCCGTCACGTCCGCGCTAGGCGTCTCCCCCTCACTTCTCCTTCTTCGGGTTGCTTCTTTTTGGTATTTTTTTTTTATAAAAATGTCACGTTAAATTTCATTTGCGCGCACGTACGTACCTATTCGTTGAATCTGCAGAGAAGGCGCCCGGCCAGTATTATACACATACATATTTATATAATAACAACAAATAGATAATATACACCTAACCAATGACTAATGACCGTTTTTTTTTTCGAACGGTTAAGCATTGGCAGGTGCCGTCATCAAATAAATTCACTAATTATCTATTGCAAGTATACGCACAGTGTTTTTTTAATACCGACGACCGACATTCTCATCGACGCGTGCCCGTCCTATTCCAGCAGCACTTGCAGCCAATGGACTTAAGGCAATAAATACCTAACTAAAAAAAAAATTGTATTTGACATTCGTTTAGACAAATTTGGAAGACGCGATTGAATAAATTTTCCTCGCCATTGTGTGTTTCCCGAGAACCGGAGACGATATTATTATAAATTGTAATCGAGGATAACATTACCATAATAATATACACAACCGAGTCCGAGCATGTCCTATTCGCACCAGCCGACATAATAATATATTAATATTACCTCGACCCGGTCCGGTTCAGAAATCATAAAGGCAATTACAGTGAACATTTTCTCAAATATTTGTCCATACTTAAAAACTCTGGGGGTAACTACCCCCAACTATTTCCTGTACAATTAATGTAGAATATTATTATAGCCCCAACACATGTATTCAGTTTTGACGCATGCCAACGCACACACACACACAAAAGAGCAATAAAAATTATATTTTCCACATCACGTGTAATTAGATAATATGTATATTATTATTAGGTATAGACTTTAATTTTGTTTTTTTTCTATGTTCGAAACTGACAAGTGTTAGGGCGATGATGTTATTTAATAATAATAATTATTATTAACATCATTGTGTATTTTAATGCGGTAATGTCGAAAATATAACGTTCGTCTGGTTTTTATTGTCCTAAAGTAATTAAGTATTTATAAATTCGTCGGTGCCTATTTATTATTTTTTTTTTTATTATAAATTTTATGATACCGTTTCAGTTGTTAAATGCGTTGTTAATAATAATAATATGGTCTTTTGTCAAATTTCCACCCGACAATATTATCGAGTAGGTATATTTGTATAATTTGCTCTTCTCTCAAATTGTATCTATTTATTAGTATTGAAAGGAGTGCACATGCTATTATATTATGTACAAAACTAATTACACTGTCGTGTGTACATTAAAAAACAAAATAATTAATCGTTTACACGATTGATATAACAAAAAAAAAATTGTATAATTTCATGTGTACTAACGCTACTAATAAGTCTGTGTAAATATTTAACGAATCCATTAGAATTTTTTGGCAAGCAAACACATAATTAAAAAATAAAAAACAATTACAATTACATAATAATTGAAAGCTAGCGTTATGATAATATTACATGTGCGATTTGTCGAGACACGATTGAAAATTAATTTTGCGCTATTTTCTTTTATCTGCGGGGCTCACGCCATTATA